AGCGCTGCGGGGCCCAGGGTGCTCGGCAAGAAGCAGCAGCAGGGCGTGGGGGGGGTGCGCTCCCGCAGCCCAGCACAGGAGTCCCTTCCCCTTGGCAGCTCAGAAACTGGGACGGTTCTTCTTGAGGCTCTTGTAGTCCGTGGAGACTGCCATAAACTGGAGAAGGAGAAGGATGTTGGGGAGGGGGGTGCATCCCCCACATGGGGAACTTCAGCCTGGCCGGGGGTGGGGGGCAGGATTCCCACCCCAGATCTGAGCGTGTGGCGCTCAAGGGCTTCCACCCCTCTGCCGCAGGGCTGACACAGCTTCCCCCAGCCTGCCCCAGTGCTCACTTTGTACTGGTCCGTGGGGTTCTTTGTCAACGGCCCAGGGTTCTTTTTCCGGTCCCAGCTGCAAGCGGAGATGGAGCCATCAGTACCTGCAAGAGGCTTGAGGGGGCAACTCCACATTTCCCCACCTGCCCCATTTTGCCCCATTCATGCCCCCAGCCAGGGCTGGTTCCCTAGGGGAATCTCAGGTATTACCATGGCAACATGCTCCATTTTTGCTGTGGGCTTGGCAGATTGGGGTGGGGGGCAGTCAGGCACCTCCAAGTCCATCGGGATGAGGAGTAGGGATGAGGAGTGGGGTGCAGGTACCAGCCAGGCTCGGGGGGCTGCTCCCATCACCCCCAGCCCAGCCGCGTGCCCCGGCCAGGGCCGGGCGCCGGAGCTATGCACAGCTGTGTGCGCAGGTGCACATCTGCCCGGCCTGGGCTGTAACCGCTGGCAGCACCATCCCGCTCAGCCCCTCTCCCCATTTCCTCCCATCCCTCGCGTCCTGCCTGCCCCCCCAGGACCCTCTGCCCTCGCCTCTCACTGGGGGGGTTGGTGCCGGGAGCGAGCAGGGACTTGCTACCGCTGCGCAGCGCCTGTGAACGTGCGGGGCGGCTGGCGTCCACGAGCTCAACCCTTCCCCAAGGCCAAATGTCCTGTCCCGTCCCGGGGGGGCGTTGGGAAGGCCA